GTAGGACCTTACATTGTCGTTTTACTTATGTTTAATCATGTCCTGCTTGTACAAAAAAAAATTAAAATTTATTTCGAATATCATCAGTTTTTATCTGATTTTACAGGTGCAAAAGCCTATTAGAAATTAAAAGATTTTTTAATGGTTTCTATTGGACATCTTTAATAGGGTAGCTCAATTGAGTAAGGAGAAATGCATAAAATACTGAAATACGTGCTTTACCTGTAGGATTGTTACATAGAATTTAAATAGAAATTATCATAAAACTATGTTGATACATGTTGGTACGTTTGCTGAAGGAATGGCCTCCAAAACATTCTTTTAGATACAATAAAACAATTTTGGCACACGCATGCTCTGAAAAACTGATTGAGGACTTCTGTGGTGCACTTCTCATAGAAAAAAAAAGCTACAGTTAGTCATGTAACTTGTCATAAAGGAATGGTAGATTATACATTGATCAGTTGTTCAAGAACTACTAAGGTCTTTATTTTAGTTTACTGTCAGTGTTAAAATTAAAAAATAAACCTTACCAGGCCGCAGTCATGTGAGGTACAAAATAAGTATAAAGTAATATTACTGTAAAATTATATGGCAGAATCTTCTGATGATTTAAAAACAACTTTTTACCGCCTACGCTGTTTACATCTTATGCATCACGCTCATATATGTTTCATACGCTCACACACTTATTCCTACTCCATACTTAATACCTAAAATGTTGGTTTTGTTTAAAAAAATGTTAATAACTGTATAGACAATTATTTATTTATTTCAAAAGTGACAAATTAATGATAAGTTAATAAATGTTCATTAAAACATAGAAAAGCATCTCTTCTAAAACATACTACTTTTTTTTAAGTTTTCGAAAAAAACGTTTAACTAAAAAAATTGATTCACTGAATAAATTATTTATGTATTACTGTCATTTATTATCAAGCTAAATTAATATTTAAACTGTACATAAAAATGTATACTGGAAATAAGATATTAACCACACCACAAGAAGTAATCTAATTTTCAATACGGGGACTGCTCATGGCATATTGGATAGCCCTTATCTCGACTAGTATGCAAGAGGTTAGGGGCTTACATCTACTTGGAACCTGTGGGTTAAAAGAAATGAAATTCATGAAATTCAAAATGTGTGGTGTAATGCAGTGTGAAGAAGAAGGAAATGGCGTGGGACAGAGGGGTAGGGTGTGATGCAGGGAGGTGTAGAGGGGACTCCACTGCTGGTGTAGCACTGCAGAGGGATGAGATGGACGGGGCGAAATCAGCAATCGACCGGGAAGATCAATCCGCCCCCAATTTTTTTGCACCATCTAGTTAAAAATGTGCTACTGCATGGGGAAGTACAGTTTGCAGGGCGGAAATGTGGTCAGAAATTGTTTAAACAAATTTTTTTAAAACAATTTATAAAAATTAACTTTTTCAAGAAAAAAAAATTGCTCCTTATTCTTTGGCCCATTCCTAGCAAAAAATCCATTGGGATGCATATACCTAAACCCTATAGATTTCGAGTAAAAAACTCAAGTTTAAAAAAATGCGTTTTTTGCGATATTTGATCACGTGTTACTCAGTTATTGGTGCGTTATTTGTAACTTACCAGGGCTCAAATTTTACGTTGAAGCGTGCACTTTTAGATAAAAAAAAATTTAGAAACGTTAGCTGCTTGGCAAGAACGGTATTGTTGATCTAAGCGTAGGTACCTACCATCCATGAATGCGTATACCTGAAGGAGGGAAATCAACAGGGAAAATTAATTCGCCTGCAATTTTTTTGCACCATCTTGTTTAAGATGTGCTACTGTATAAATAACATGATTTTTATAGTGACATGCTTTTATTAAGCCATTTGGCAGAGGGCTTCTTGTCTTAAATACAGGTACTAGTGTATTATTCAGATACTTGTAACCAAATTAATTTAGATCTAGTTACATGTACATGGAATAAAATGCATTTTGATTTAATACTGTATTTTAAGCTTCAAAGAAGTCGTTCAAATTTTTTGTACATTAAAAAACATTTCCATGCTACCGCTTTAGAAACCTACAAATAGCAAAATCCGTGTTTTTTGGAATTTCAAGAGTTTTTCACTCAAAATTTATTAACTTTAGAGAAAAATGTGTTCAGAAATTTTTTGTTCGTTTTGATCACAGCAGTACAAAATAGTTATTTACGTAACAAGTGCGGAAAAGACGATTTCCCGCACGAGTTGTGATTGACTCGTACGAGTGGCCGGAGTTGACGGGAACGAGTGTCAGTTGAGCACACGAGTTACCGTCACCGGCCACGAGTGCGAGTCCATCACACGAGTGCGGGAAATCGTCCCGCACGAGTTGCGTACAAGTTTTTTCATAATAGTGTGCGGAAAATGGGTGTTTTCCGCACTGGTATTAGTGTGGAAAATCGATTTTCCCACATAGTGTGCGACAAAGGTGTGCGGCAAAGGTTTTTCCGCACAGTGTGCGGAAAAGGTGTGTGGAAAAGGTTTTGCCACACACCGGAAAAAATTTTGCTACACACTGGAAATCAAAATTCAAACCTATTTTGTACCTATTTTCCTCACACATTGCGAAAAAACTTGTACGCAACTCGTGCGGGACGATTTCCCGCGCTCGTGTGATAGACTCCCACTCGTGGCCGGTGACGGTAACTTGTACCTTGCGATCACACTCGTGTGCTCAACTGGTACTCGTTCCCGTTAACTCCGGCACTCGTACGAGTCAATCACAACTCGTGCGGGAAATCGTCTTTTCCGCAGTTTTTACGTAAATAACTATTTTCTTACGAATTTATTGATTTTTTGTATTTTGTTAGAAAAAAAAATGATTAAACAATTTCTGACCGTATTTCCACCTAGCAAACTGTACTTCCCCATGAAGTAGCATATCTTAAACAAGATGGTGCAAAAAAATTGCAGGCGAATTAATTTTCCCTGTTGATTTCCCTCCTTCAGGTATACGCATTCATGGATGGTAGGTACAAAAATGACTACGCTTAGATCAACAATACCGTTCTTGCCAAGCAGCTAACGTTTCTAAATTTTTTGTTTATCTAAAAGTGCACGCTTCAACGTAAAATTTGAGCCCTGGTAAGTTACAAATAACGCACCAATAACTGAGTAACACGTGATCAAATATCGCAAAAAACGCATTTTTTTAAACTTGAGTTTTTTACTCGAAATCTATAGGGTTTAGGTATATGCATCCCAATGGATTTTTTGCTAGGAATGGGCCAAAGAATAAGGAGCAATTTTTTTTTCTTGAAAAAGTTAATTTTTATAAATTGTTTTAAAAAAATTTGTTTAAACAATTTCTGACCACATTTCCGCCCTGCAAACTGTACTTCCCCATGCAGTAGCACATTTTTAACTAGATGGTGCAAAAAAATTGCGGGCGAATTAATCTTCCCGGTCGATTGCTAATTTCGCCCCGTCTAAGAGGAGTGGCGTACATGGGACTAGCGGGACGCGGTGAGGGGAAGAATAAAATCAGAAATTCACTTTCATTATATATTTTCTTAATATCACTTAAATTGTTAACATTCTTAGATTGTTCAGCTTTGTTTATCCGAATTATTGCAGTTATATTTTTGGCCAATGGTGATACTAATGCTGATTAGAACATAACGGATAAGCTGAAAGGTATTTTAGTTCAAGCCATGGAGCCAAAAAACTCTCAAAAGTAATTTAGCATACTTAATAATAGATAAATAGTGACTTAAGAGGAGTATTTTGATTTCGTCTGACTTGTATAAACACCATGTAGCAGCATGTACCTTATGTTTACTTTGATTATACAAACATGAAATTTGAAACTATGAGAATGTGCATAAGGTCCACAATTAAACTATTACGGCATTGAAACTAGCCTTACTGATTTTAATTGAACTGAGACAACCAAAAGACAAATAGAAGATCTATGAAAATAAAAGAATCAACATAATACAAACGTCAGATCTTCTAATTATGAAAACACACATGTTATCAGCTTGCCAGTACTCCATAACAACATTAGGTATTTCATATAAATTAAGACAATTTATTAATTATTATCAAATGAAACTGTAAAACCGCTGATCATTTAATATCAAGTGGACAGATATGAACAGTCTAAACTCTTTTAATCAGTGTGATATAAGCTTTAGTAATAAAATTATTGTGGTGAATTCAGTAAGTGTACTTACTAAGCAGGGGTCACATGATCATAAGTCCAAAACGTACTGGTGTTAATGTTAAGGTATTTTTTTTTTTTTTTGTTTTTTTTAGAAATGCATAAGCTTTTGTTTAAGGTGTTCTTTTGTTGATTTCTTTAATTTAGATACACTTTTTTAGCCAACACAAGCCTACTTAAGACCCTACACAAGAAGTTCAAGCTCTATTGTTATGAAAAATACGTTTCATGTTAACAGTCATACTTAGGAATTTGATCGTTTTCTCAACATTTCACCTGTTAAACCCTTGAAAAAAAGTCAAAATACATTTCTGTAGACGGTGTAATTTAACAAAACCAAAATAGTACAAAATTTTGCATAGCTTGACATACAAGAAACTAAATATTCAAAATAAAACGAATTGAAATTAAACTACATTTTATAAGTTGTGATAGGTCTCTTTAAAACCAGGGACCAATTTTCCTGTGCACTACTTATACTATTGTACTTATTAAACATGTTATCTAACCATGCACAAGGTAGCAAGAATTTGATGATTAGGGACAATTTTGAATGTAAGGAATAGGAGAGAGTAAGAGTTTAAAGAAATCGTGCAGCAGTTTATAAAGCTCTTTCTGTACATTAGTGCAACATAACTTTTGAGACAAAACAACTTATTCACTTTGTAGACAGAAATTTGTAAATTATATACTTCTTATAATTGTTCAATTTTCTTACACCGATTTTAAAAGTTATTATTATTGAGAGTGTGAGATATTAACAACAATAGTGTTAGTCATATCGTTAAGCTTTAAAATATTACGGTATACTTGATATAGTTACATTTTTTCAATTGCTTCGGAGATTTCAGGCCAGAACTCATCAACTACCTTATCTAATTTTTGAAGTGCAAAGACTTTCAATTCTGGTATGGGTTCCTCCAGCAAAGATATGATCCCTGCTGCAAAAATCATAATTCAGTATTACCATCTACATTAGAGATCATAACATGTAACAGCCTACTATTCTTTAAACTTTTAAATTAACAACTCATTTTACTTGGATTCAAGAAAACAATTTTTCAACACTTACCAGCAGAAGTTATGTTCATTTTGAGAAATAGGTATATAATTAAAAAATGACTCTACAGTAGAAACGTGAATTTCATTAAATAACTTGTTTGTAGCTTAATTACTTATTTTAACCGTAACAGTTTACAATTGACGGGAACAAATTCTTCGTAGATACAATGAGATGGCTAAAATACTGTTTACCTACAGTGGGAGACACAACTTTTTGCGATACGAATAAAGCTACGATCGTGTATAGACCTTTAACTTCGGGTCGAGTACTCAATACTACTCATAGGGTATGTTCCAGTAACGCTCTCCGACAACTTACCGACAACTTAAACATGAGGCAAGATATTGTAAGACATAATTAAGTTGTCGGTAAGTAAACACGACGCAAGATATTGTAAGACATAATTAAGTTGTCGGTAAGTTGTCGGAGAGACATTTACAAGAACACACGGATAGAGGTATAAGAACCATAGAGGTAATAAGAATAGAGGAGAAAAGGGGGCGTCATATGCGACAGCAGAATTCGCTACGTAACGGGGCATCTGTCTTTGTCTGGCAGTTATGTTATTGGTCGAGTCCTACATGAGATTGAATCAACTGTAGGATTCAGGATGAAGAAGTAGCCAATAACGTGGCTTTGGTAACAAGGACAGATGACCCGTTACCCTTAATTATGCTATCACTGGTCACTGCTGCTAATTGGCTAGTATAGCACTTTCCCTCTCTATTCTTATACCTCTATGATAATAACATAAAGATAGTTTAATAGAGAAAGCGAATTGTATATTCTTCTGTAAGTAAAAGCGTACAGTCAGTAGACAGAGGAAGGTGACTGTTTTGGTCTTGCTTCTCTCTCTGCCCTCTGCATTAATTGGATGCTGCTTGACTGTATATAGTAGTAGTTATAGTAGAGCAGTAGGTATATATATTGAATTAGAGGCAAACGAGGGCATTTAAAATAGCCAATCAGGATGAGAGCAGAAAAAGATGCAAGACCAACACAATCTTCTTTCTCTGTCTACCATCTGTATGCGGTCACGGCTTCTTCGCTTCTTCTATTATATTATTATGTATATGAATCGAAATAGAATAGTTCTTATAGACCAAGAACTGAGGCCAAAGAAGGGTCGAAACTTTAACCAGCCGCCACTGTCACCAAAATTAAGCGACCTTATAATTCGTAAAATTCCGAAATATTTCAGTCATAATTTATAGTAGTAAAGAGTTATGTGGTAATTATAAGAGTGCCGTATAGTTTTTTTTATTAACCAGCCGCAACTTATCCAAATAGATAGAAACTAATAAGTTTAATAGCGCCATTTGCGGCAAGATTGGAATGCATCTTGTACCCGAAAATCGATCTTAAAAAATATAGACTCCCTACCCGATCGTATCTATAATACTCATCTGAGATAATGGATGATGCATTATAGATAACACCATAAATAAGAACAAAAAATCTATATTTTTGGGGGTTGATTTTCAGGTACAAGATGCATTCTAATCTTGACGCAAATAGTACGTCCGTTTAGCAACTTTTTAATTTCTACCTATTGGTGTAAATTGTGGCTGATTGATGAAAAATACCATACAGCACTACTATAATTACTACATAACTCTTCACCACTATAAAATATGACCACAATATTTCAGATTTTGACGAATCATAAGGTTCCTTAATTTTAATGAGAGTGGCGGCTGGTCAAAATTTTGACCACCGTTTGGCCATAGCTCTTGGTCTACTATCATAGAGATAAGATAATAGAGGAAGCGAACAAGCCGTGAGCGCATACAGATGATAGACAGAGAAAAAAGATTGTGTTGGTCTTGCATCTCTCTCTGCTCTTATCCTAATTGGCTATTTTGAATGCCCTCTTCGCTCTTCTGCATAGAGGTATAAGAATAGTGGGAGCTATCCCCATGTAACTCTGTACTGTGAGATGTTTCCACGTGCAAGAGAGAAAGCTGCAAGAAGGCCCCTTCTATTATCCTTCTCTAATTGGGTGAGCATGCGCAGTAAGGCTCTCGTCTCGACTCTCGACTCTCGATACTGAGAAATCCTTCTCCCTCTCCCAACCGTTTGGTTAGAGAGAGATAGCAAAAAGGGGCCTTCTTGTACATTTCTCTCTCGCTTCTGGTAACACACTGGTAGCCTGATCACTCCCTCTATTTTTATACCTCTATGCTCTTCTGCCTCTAATGCAATATATACGTGGCGCCCCAGCCGAAGCTCTAATCAAGCTTCTCGGCGGAAAATCAAGAGAGACGACGCTCGAAAGCAGCAACGACGACAGCACGCGCCTCGCCTACAAACAGCGAGCCCTCTTTCTCTGTACGACTAAGTCGAGAATAAATAAGTATAAGTTTGTCTCACACTGCGTATCGCTCATTCCACGCTCTGTTTCGCACCTCAAGTATCCTCCAGCTCCGGGAAGAGCTCCAGCGTGACATCAATTCCCAAAGTGGCGATCCTGCCAGGATTCTTCGTCAAGGTAAGCAGTGCCGTGTGAGAGACAACAGAAAAGTGCTTCAAGAGCGAGAGAGAACAACCATCAGCGGCTTCACGGCCTTTTCCCCTCTCGCCCCAGTGACAATTTTTTTTTTTTTTTTTTTTTGTGTTTCTCGTGAGGAAGTTTGTGAAAAAGAGGCAAGCCAACGATTTTTCCTCTCCACCCCTCTCACGTTACCGCTACGCATGACTACAGTGCTGCACGTCAACAAACGCAACAAAGGCGAGCACGCCGAGGTCGGCCATTTTGGTTCACGAGAAGCAAGAGGTCGTCCCTCGCGCTACTTGGTGCCACACGCACTCAAGTGCAACGAAGTGGTGTGCCGTACCCTAACTTTTATATAGTCATTTTCTTGTCGCGGCCGATGCGGCTGAGCCTTAGCTCGCCCAACCCTCAACCTTCTAAATACTATTCGGTGCGTGAGTGTAAGTGAATTTTTGCGCGTCAAGCCACACGGGCCGGGGCACGCCTGGACAGCCACCCACGTGCTATCGCGGCATCTCCCTCGCACCAGCGCTCCCTGACCTGCTAGGCGACACGCACTTAGCCGGCACCTCGGCGTTCGCAACGCTGGCAGACACGGACCACGAAGTGACACGATGCGACGAGCGCTACCAGCGTCGCTTGGAGCGGCAAGAGGAAGGCCAACTACAGTCGGCCCTCACTGCCGTCGAACAACAGCAGCAGCAGCTGTCGGCCCAACAACAGCAGAAGCGTACAAACACAATGTCCGACCAAAAGATTCCACGCTTCTGAACTGAGGCGCCCGCGGCATGGGTTGCCCATCAGGTGGAGACCATCCTCGAGGCCTCCACCGTCACAGACGACAGTCAGCAATACATCGAACTCATCGGCGCCCTCAGCGGAGCAGCAGTGTCCGAGCTCTCGGACATCATCGCCAACCCCCCGGCTACAGAGCGTTTCAAGGCAGTCAAGACAGCGATCCTGTCCCGCTTTCAAGACTCTGCGGATACTCAACTGCGGAAGCTCTTCGGGCAGCTACAGCTAGCAAATGCTAAGCCATCCCAACTCCTGCGCCAAATGAAGAGCCTCGCGGCTGGCGAGGTCACGGACGAGATCCTCAAAATCAGGTGGCTTGACCTTCTCCCTTCACAGATTAACGCCATCCTCCGGATCATGAAGACAGCTACCTTGGACGAGCTCAGCACCATGGCAGATGAGCTCAGTAGCGCAGTCCTAGGGAGGCTATCAAAGCAACTAACGCGCGCGCGTGAGCGAGTGAGTGAGGAAGGAAGCGCATGGTAGCGTTGAGTACCACTATACTTCCACCGACTACTCACAAGGCGCGAAAATTAAAAAAATACAAAAATATCTCCCATACTACTACCAAATCTCCCAAACCTTATAACCTAATAGAGTATATATCCTAATTACTCAGATGAGAGGCAGGCTAAATACATTATCTATTTTTTTAATAACTTTTAACTGCACACATAATTATCTGGATGAACGACTGACATTGAATTTGTTTTGTAGTTCTCATAATAAGTATTTACAATTAATAATACTACAAACTCATGTTCAGATTTTTTTAAAAGCAACAACAAAACTTATTAGTTATTTATTAATTATTTATTTATTTCATACTCCGTCCCTTTCGGGTTTGGAGGGCTTCCGTTACATTTCTTATCGTTATCTTTGCACATTACTTTTACATATGTTTTACATTTTCATTCATGATTTTCAAGTTACATAACCTATTCTTATTAGTAAGTAAACAAAAACATATAATAAATT